AATTTTCATCCAAGGAATCTTTTCCAAGTTCTCTCTGAGTTTATTAAAATCAGCTCTTTTAAAATCTATGACTCTGGTATCATTATGTTATATTGCCTGTGTTTGCATTATGTTGAATACTAGTACGACACTCTCACTCAAATTTCCTGCAGTTTCAACTCCCTCTATCACTTCTTCTCTGTTTATAAGAATTAAGTCCAGTATGGCTGTCCCTCTAGTTCCCTCCTCTATCTTTTGTACAACAAAGTTGTCAGCTAGGTAAGTTAGGAACCTATTTGATTTCTCACTTGGTGTGGAATTAATTTTCCAATTGATATCAAGGTAATTGAAGTCCCCCATTACTATTGTAATGTGTTTGCTACATATATTTGTTAGTTTGTTGGCAAAAATGACATCTATTTTTCCTGCTTGATTGGGTGGCCTATAGTATAGCCCTTAAGGTGGCACTTAAGGAGCATTCATCTGAAATGAGATTGGTCCCATACCTGTTTTCCTTCTGGGAAGCCCTCAAAATGGGCTTTTCCATCAACCCTGGTGTTCTCATGGGGAGTCAGCAAACTGGTTGTGTGATGTCAGGTGATGGTTGTTCTGTATTGTCCTTGAGTTTTTATGTTTTTGTTTTTATATTTATGCGTAAACTTTTTATGCTTTAATTATTTTATATGGTATATGCTACCCAAAGTCACATTTTGTGAGATGGGAGACTATATAAGTTTGTTAAATATTCCATTCTTAGGAATATTGTTAAAATGGTAGTATTTGGTTCATTCAGAAGATAAGGATTTCATTCAGAGATATGAACTTATAAAAAGTTTCTAAACTTTGCAATGATTTTCATAATCTAAATAATAACTTTTGTGGCAAGATACCACAAAAAGGGAGAAGCTTCAGCTTAGTTGAAAATTACAGACCAATCTCCTTATGCTGCATCACCTGTAAAGTCATGGAATCAATTATTAACCAATCCATTATCCTCCACTTAGAGACAAACAACCTACTCTATAATAAACAAGTTGGTTTCAGAAAAAAACTATCCTGCAATCTGCAACTCTTACACTGCAAAAACATATAGGCTACACAACTCGATCAGGGCAAAGCAATAGATGCAATCTACATAGACATCTGTAAAGCCTTTGGTTCAGTGGTACACAACAAACTACTCCTAAAACTAAAATCTTATGCTATCTCTGGACACCTGCATAACTGGTTAGAAGCATTCCTCTCAAAAAGACAACAAATAGTCAAAATTGGGAGCGTCCTATCAAATTCTGTACCTGTCAACAGTGGTGTCCCCCAAGGCAGTGTTCTAGGACCAACTCTCTTTATACTCTGAAGAGTATGACCTCTGTGATCATATTAAGAGCAACTGCGTTCTCTTCGCTGATGATGTAAAGCTATTCAACACCACAGAAAATACTGCTACCCTTCAAAAAGACCTTGACTATGTATCAGAATGGTCAAACAAATGGCAACTTCAAATCTCAACAAATAAATGCTCTGTCTTACATATTGGCAAAAAAAAAAATCAGAAAATAAAATATAGGCTGTATAGTCAAGACCTTGTTGATGATCCAAACTCTGTCAAGGATCTTGGAGTACTCATCTCTAATGATCTAAGTGCTAGAGCCCACTGTAACTACATAGCCAAAAAAGCATTAAGAGTTGTTAACCTAATCTTACATAGCTTTTTCTCTGGTAATATTACACTCATAACTAGAGCATACAAAACATTTGTTAGACCAATACTTGAATACAGCTAATCAGTCTGGAACCCACATTACGTATCTGATATTAACACAGTTGAGAAAGTCCAGAAATATTTCACAAGAAGAGTTCTCCACTCCTCTACTCATTGCAGAATACTTTATGCCACCAGACTTGAAATTCTAGACCTAGAAAAACTAGAACTACGCCACCTTCAGTCCGATCTAAGTATAGTATATAAAATCATACATTGCAATGTCCTACCTGTCAATGAATACTTCAGCTTCAACCATAACAACACAAGAGCAAACAATAGATACAAACTCAAGGTTAATCGCACCAAACTTGATTGCAGGAAATATGACTTCAGCAACAGAGTGGTCAATGTCTGGAATACTCTACCTGATTCTGTGGTTTCTTCCCCAAACCCCCAAAACTTTAACCTTAGACTTTCTACTACTGACCTCACCCCTCTCCTAAGAGGTCTGTAGGGGGCATGCATAAGTGCACCAATGTGCCGTCCGTCCCTGTCCTGTTGTTTCTTTTATTTTTCTTATATGTATCCATGTATTCATAACTATGTTTTTTACTTATACCTATTATCTTGTAAGCAATTGACAAACCAAATAAGATAAAAAATAAATAAAATACCATGGATAGTAAAAGAAAATAGCAACTACAGTTTACCACAAATTGTCCCATCAGTCATTATGCAGAGAGAAGCTGAAAAGCATAATGGCAAGTGACAAGAAGAAAAAGAAGCATCGGATACCCTGCACTACCAGACTTGAAATCTTGGGCTTCGACAACCTAGAACTAAGCCGCCTACAGTTGGACCTAAGCAAAGTACACAAAATTATCTGCTACAATGTCCTACCAGTCAATGACTACTTCAGCTTCAACCGCAACAATACAAGAGCACACAACAGATACAAACTCAATGTAAACCACTCCAAACTTGATTCCAGAAAATACAACTTCAGCAACAATGCTGAAGTGAATGAGTGGTCAATGCCTGGAATGTGCTACCTGACTCTGTTGTTACATCCTGAAACCCCCACTCCCTTAACCTTAAACTATCTACTATTGTCCTCACCCCATTCCTAAGAGGTCTGTAAGTGCACAATTCTGCCCAGCGTCCCTGTCCTATTGTCTCCATTTATTTGTATCTATTTCCTGTATTCATACTCATGTTTATTCTTATACCTATTATCTTGTAAGTGATTGACAAATCAAATAAATAAATAAATAAAGCCCTCTTCTCCCTGATCAGGTTAAATTCTACCATTTTTCATCCAAAATGGTTTTTGTACATCACAGAAAAGATACATTAGGCCTTCTATATCATGTTCTCTTTCTGAAATTCCAGTGCCAGAATCAGAAGTTTTCCCAATTAAAAAAAGGAACTCACTTTGTTCATGGAGCACAGAAAGTAAATACATTTTATGGTCTATGGATTTTGGAATGCTGAAAAAACCCTAATATATTATCTTAATTTGAAAACTGTTTGGAACTTTTGGCCTTTACTTTCTTCATATATTAATTCAGTGTATCAAAAGCAATGTCAATAAAATTTTCCCACAAATAATATGATATGAAGTTATATGGAAGCCTTTTTATTAATTACCTATTGACAAGCTGAAAAATTTACAAGTGGATTGCCAATGGTGTGTTTGCTTGGTTGAAAAAAAAAATAGAAGCATCTGTGTTGTTTTGCACTGCTTTATGTACAATGAGCTCATCTCTTACTTATAACTGTGAAATGACAGCCTGCAGATGGTATTGTGTCTGATGGTATTTGTAGGATATGTCTTTAGTTTAAATTGTAATTGATAAAATTATTCTTGCACATAGACTTCCATGCAGTTTCATGAAAATACATGTAATTGACATTAAAAAACCAGCCATATCTGTAACTGTATGCTCATATTTATATCTATTGTATATATAAATACAACATTGTGTACCACTGTGCTGTATATATGCCAAACCCCACACAAACATATTATCCATTGTTTGATAGTAAGATAATCCCTCACTTGAACCTTTTGTTACATAATTCCCATTTTGAAGTCTTGTACCTTGATCTACATCTTCTCTTTCTTAATTGGATATTCCCAAATGAAATTGATTTTTCTAGTTACGTATAAATTAGGATTACAGAAGTGGTGATATTCAAATAATTTAACAACTGGTTCTCTGCCCTAATGACTAGCTGGGTAGGTGTGGCTGGATGGTCATGTGACTGGGTGGGCATGGCCAACTCGACATCACTCATGTCAAGGGGAACCTCACCTCACCATGCCGCTCCCCTCTCCCAGCTACTCCTCACCTGGCACTATTCAGGCTCTTCCCCCTTGGCTGGTGGCCAGGTGGCTAGGCACTCCCACACTCTACCCAGAGTGGGTGAGCTGGCAGGGAGGGCCAGCTGCAGAGGAGCAATGAGGATTGTGCTGCATTGCAGTCATTTGCTGCCCCCTGCATGCTGGCAGGCATGGGGGAGAGATGTGGACAGGAGAAGGAAGCTGAGCGGCAGCGACTCAGCCCTGGCTTGCCTTCCTCTCTGCCACCAGTTGTGGGAGCAAGGAAAGGGCAGGAGGGGATCAGGGGTTGTGGCCACCTGAGAAAGCCAAACTGCTGCCCAGAGCTGCTGGTGGGTGGTGGTGGTGAAGTGGGGGGGTGAGGCAGGGGTTGTGGGGCGCACCTGGGTTGAAATTCCCAGCCTTTTCTTTATAAATCTGCCCAAAAGTGGGAGGAGAGGAAGCCCCCCTACTCACCCCTTTGTTGTCCATGAAGTCCTCGCCAACCGGCCTTGCCTGCTCGCCTCTCCAAGCCTGGGGGTGATTGTTCCTTCACGCACAGTCCCTGGGAGACTGCCCAGGAGCACCCGGCAGACTCGGGCTTGGGTGGATGGCTCGCAAGGCACCGACAGCAGCCAGGGCTTACATTGTCGCTTAGGGGATGCAGCTGGGCCTGGGTCTCCATGCACTTGGGCTTTTCCCCGCTCCAGCATCCTGACTGTCTGCCTGAACCCATGGAAGCAAGAGAAGCAGAGAGGGCTGGCTTTTTGCCTAGGTTTGTTCAGCTGTCATGGGGAAAATGGATGGGGGCCTGGAGAGGAGGTGTCTTGCTTTCTGTGGCTGCCAGTGGGTGGGGGTAGCCAGGGACCACAAGGCTGCACCACTTGCATTGCCCTCATCTGCCAGCCAGCTCACCCGCTGGCCCACACTCTTTGGCCAAGCGCAGTGACCCTGGAGCAGGTTTCCCTCTGCCTCTATCAGCTTTCCCTTTGCAGGCAGTCATGGTAAGCAGAAGGATGCAAGTCTTGTGAGCTGGAAGGCAGCCAGGGACCACAAGTCTGCACTGCCTGCATCGTCCCTCCATCATCTGGCCCTCACTCACCCATTTGCTGGCCTGTGCCCTTCAGCCAAGCACGGCGGATCCAGAACACATTTCCCTCACCCACTGTCAGATTTCCAGCCTGTGGGGCACACACCTCTATGCTCACTGTGGCTGCCTGCAAAGCTAAGGCAAAGATAAGGCCGATGGCAGGAGAGGGAGACTCACTCCAGGCCTGCCACGCTTGGCTGAAGGGCACAGGCTGGAGGGTGGCGGGCAGGCAGGGGAGGGCCAGTTGGCGAAGGGGTGATGTGGGAGGTACAGCCTTGCAGTCCCTGGCCTCCTTCCAGCCCATGGGATTCACACCATTCTGCTCACTGCAGCTGCCTGCAAAGGTAAAGCTGATGGTGGGGAAGGGAGACTCACTCGAGGTCCCTCCACAGGCCCCCATCTGTTTTCCCCTCAACAACCGGAAAAACCTAGGCAAAAAGTCAGCCAGGTGAGTGGCTGGGAGGAGAGGGGCAAAGGGCGGGGTGGGGCCAGCCAATGGTGGGATCAGCTGGTTCACCGAACTGCAGAAAAAATTAGAATTATTCATATATTAATTTTATAAATGTAAATTTTAAATAAAAGATGTCCACAAAATAGCAGGAAAATGTGTACATTTTGTATCTATTGAAACACAAATATCCTCTATTTATTTTGTGGCATTCATATATCTCTAAATTTTGTGACATCATTTTCCAACACCAGCTTTAGCAAACTTTCTTTCATTTTCCCCCAATTTTTAAATAAAGCGTAACCACATTTTTTCATTTTGGGGGGGATTACTGCTTGCAATATGCTAATGTCCTAATAGCATCTGCTTTTTTTCTACAGAAAATTTGACAAATCATTGGAAAAATTGAGAAATTTCCATCATGATATGAAGAATTTTAACCTCTGGCTAACTGAAATAGAACAAACTTTAGCTAAAATAGCTAAAGATGATCCAAATGTTTCTAAAAGCAAGCAATACATCCAGGTATGATTGCTTATTTTTTATTGTATGAATGCTGATATCTATATGTACTGTTTAATGTGTATAGATATAAACATATACGTGTGTGTGTGTATATAAATGTGTGTATAGATAGAGATAATTTAGATATAGATATGTGGAAGAGATAGGTTGGGGTAGGTCATTCTGGAGAAAGTCTATCTATATAGATAAGAGTCAACATTGAATTGGTGGAGTGATTGTGTGTTGATGCACATTGCATATGTTTTCGATTTAGCTTCATCATTAATTCAAAATTTGCAGCTCCAAAATCTTTTTGCTTTACTTGTTATATTTTTGCTTGATTCTAACAAGAAAAGAGAATGTGAAAATAATGAGTTCCTATGAAAAATTGTATGGAGGACTGGTAAAACTGATTGTTCTTCACATTGCAGTTTTGTTATAAAATTGATAAAACACCACCTTTCTTTTTCAATGATTACCACAAGTTCATATTTTTAAACAATTTTATCCATTGTTGTGCGGCTGTTATAGACTCTTGAAGCAATCAAACAGATCAAGCATAAATCATTTTCATGTTCATGGATAGGTTTTTGACCAAATGTATAGACATTTTGCATGAGCTGCCCTTCCTTAAATCTCTCTCCCACAATTTATCAAAGGAAAAGGAAGAGGAGCAAAATATAACAATTGTATCTACTATATTTCCTGGGCACTTAAGTTATAAAATAGCAATCAATTCCTCTTAGTTAAAAAAGAAAAAGTTCACCATCCAACAGTTACAGATATTTTTTGTACAGCTATATATGTATTAATTTCAAATGATGAAAATAATCCTTAGCATTACTCATAAACATTTTTCGGTTATATGATGAATAGATGAATCAGGCAAATGATAGATGCTTGATTTTATATGTTCTGACATTCAAACACACTGATGGTACTTTAATTCTGTAAAGTGTTCTTCCATTGATATCAGTAGACATAATGAACATATTATAGATTGTTTGATATATTTGAGCAGTAGCATTATGTTATTCTTCTATAACCTTTAGAAAGAAAACATGCTTTAGAATACTTCTATTTATTATCTTCTTTTAAACATTTATGGGACAACACCCTTCTATTTTAAGTTTTATTTTCTTAGACAAATATATTTTAGATTTCATGGTAAAAGTTACAGAAATGTGGAGAACATAAATTTGGTATTTTAATGTTACAATATAAAATGACTTAAAATATATCAATATGCTTTGTCATAATGTACTAAATCCAACATTACACAAATGGACTTCTGCTCACTCAATTTTCCTCCAAGTTTCACTGCTTTGTCAACCTGCTGTGCAATGTTGGTACTCACTGCAAGATCATTTATTTATCACTTACCATAGGAAAAAATAAGACACATAGGGAAGAAAAGAAAGCTGAATATGTTCTCCAGAAGGAGAATTTCTTAACTCAGTTTTTTATCACCTTTCAGGCACATAAAGCAGCATTTCTAAAACTCATTAACATTTTTCCTTTAGGTAGAAAGAAGTACTAAAGTTGAATTATGAATTCTGAGAGCATGTATCATGTGGTTAATTAAAGCTGGTTGAATAAAACATTTTAAATGATATTTCTAATGTCTATTTTTTTAATGGAAATGTTGTCTATCTTGTCTATCTATCTTCTCAGGCCAGGCTAGGAGTTACTAGGAGGGGAGGGTGAGGGCCAGGGCCAGCCAGTGGTGGGTTCAGCTGACAGGGAGCCACAGCAGGGGGACAAAAGAACCACATGCAGCTCTGGAGCTGTGGGTTGCTGACACCTACCCTAGGAACAAGACTATCTCAGCTTCAGGATCAAGCTCTGGTATCAGATGCGCTATATGGTTCAAATGTGGGTGATGAATTGCCGCATCTGGCGTACAGATTTCAGTTCTATGGTCAGGGATCTGGTTGCATTCAATAAGAATTGGTAAAGTCAGGCATGTTTTCCCATCTACCAACTCAACTTGGTAACCAGATGCTCTTCTCTCCTCCGCCTCCACAATTCCTGCACAAGTTTTTAAGGAATATGGAGTGCTAGGGTCTTTAATGCCAAAGGCATCAAAGAAGGCTGAGCTGGTTAAAGACTTGTTACTTTGATCGTGTGGAATGGCATAAAGCTTAATTCCCTTTGACTTGCTGACTAAAGAGATTTTGGAGTAGGACTTGCCATTGCAATCTCTTTGCAGACTTCTGTGCATTTTGTATTGATTTCTGTTGTGGTTGTAGCAGTGTGTTCTACCTCCCTGCTGTGCTCACTGCCACTGTGTGTTGTAAAATCCATGGTTCTGGTTCTGGCTGACCTTACAGTCAATGGCAAAGTGAGGGATTGATGAGCAGCACTTGTAGCAAATGTTGTTTGCTTTCAGGAAAGCTTTGCAGTCTTCCATGGACTTCTCTCTGAAGGCTCTGCATATTAGGAGAGGATGTGGCTTTTGGTGTAGAGGACACTGCTTACCAGGATCTCTGATCTCAGTTTATATGTGAGAGGAGCTGGCAGACCTGCAAAAGGAATCTGGAGGAGTCACATTAGTTTTGTGGACTGCTAATGAAGGCTTATGAGGGTTATGTTCTGAAGGAGCAGCACATGACAATGTGAAGTCGAAGCTAGGATCATTTATTGTTTTAGCTTGTTGGCTAAAACAGAGAAGGGGGGAAATGGAACATTGTACTCTCTTTTGCATTTGGAGCCATGTGTGATCCACTGCTCTTGCAGGTTATACCTCTGGTTGTGTCAAACAATGCAAATTCTTGCAAGTCCCCTTTCGACTTAGCTACTTGAAATTTCATTAATAAGTCGCTAAGTTTCCTAAGTTTCTCATAGGCTCTGTTAGTTATTTTGGGAAAGCTATCAAGTCTTTTGAACATTGCATTTTCCACTGCTTCTGCTGAGCCATAGCACTTTCCCCCCTTGATTCCCCTTTTTGTTTTTTTTTACATTCTAGCCAATCGTACCATTTATTCCAGATTGAGTAAAATTCCACCTCCTCTTTTCCTTTTAATTTTAATGTGAGTTTTTCCATTTCTGCACATTCACAATTTTTTTGAATAATAAATTGTATTGGTGGTATATTAGGAGATTTCCAGAATTGAGCCAGTGAAATACGTGCCGCTGTTAGGATATGGATAATCAAATATTTTACTTTGGTGGGATAACCTTCCTTAATGATACCCAGAAGATACAATTTAGGTTCCCACTCCAATCCACCCTGGACAATTTCTTCTAACCAAGTTTTAATTCTACTCCAAAACTTTTTGACCACTGGGCTTGTCCACCAGAGATGGAAGTAGGTACCATGATTCCCTTTGCATTTCCAACAAGTTGGATTGGATGTTGGATATATTTTTGCTAACCTGGAGGGTGCTAGATGCCATCTATATATCATTTTATATAAGTTCTCTTTATAAGACACAGATTTAGTTATTGTAAGATTTCTCTACCAGATTTCTTCCCAGTCTTCTAAGTCTATATTATGGCCGAAATTTCTTGCCCACACTGTCATTGGTCCTTTCACAATTTCCTCAGCTAATTCATACCCCAATAGATAATTATATAATTTAGATATCATATTTTTATCTGGGCCCAAAAGTATCTTATCAAATTTAGTGCTCTTTGATTCTATTCTGAATTCTTTTAAATCTTTCTCATATCTTATTGCTATTTGGAAATAGGACCAACGATCAATCATTATTTTTTGGTTTTCTAACTCTTGGGTCGATTTGAGCTTTCCTTCTTTGTCTAAAATTTGGTGATATTTGAGCTTTTTACTTTAAAAAAAAAATTAACTGATTTTTAAAAACAAACATAAACAAACAAAACATAAAACATAAAAACATCTTTGTTGAAAGCAGCTTGATCCCAGGTTACATCTCTTCGTACAGACACAAATTCAAATTCATGTTCATTTTATATACCATTCCATATCTTATTGCCATTCTACATTTTCTATATAGCTTCTCCCCTCTTTTAACTTTCTTAATTTTATTTTATTTATTTCATTTTAATTCAGATCATTATACTTATATTCTTTGTCTGTCCTGTTTCCAGCTGTCTATTATCTTTTCTCATTAAACAAAATTTCTCCTGTAATCACTGATTGGAGTATGACGCCTTTATATCTTTCCCCTAAATTTATAACACTTAGTATAATACATAACTTCCATTCGGATTCTGCTTAGTACATTCTAAAGTTACACACTATATTTTAAAAAGAGAACAAATTATAAATATATAATATAATTAAAACAACAATCCATACCAATTCAAATCTATTGTTAATATTAGTATTCATTTAAATCTTAAACATTTTACACATTACTTTTCAAATAAGTATCATACTTCTATGGGAACACTTATAAACTTTCCATAGTTACTTCCCCCCCACTTCAGTCATATTTTAAAACATTATATCATTAAAATGTTCCCATTCCTTCCTAGTTCAATTCTCTCATTTATTTCATTTCATTTATTTTGTTCACAAAAGTTTCACTGAATTACACTAAGTATTTTATCCCACTTTTTAATCATATGTTGTTTCCAATTTTCTAACATTATTTCTAATACAAATATAACAATACAATCTTATGTACCTTTGCAGAATCACTTTTTCAGTTAAATTTTTACCCATTATCTCTAAATAAGTCCTGTTTCTTTACATCTTGCTCCACACCTTTGTAGCTTCTCTTCCCTTCCTTCCTCCCTTGCTTCTTCTCTCTGCCCTTTTTACCCCCTTGTCTCTCCACCTCCTTTTCCTTCTTCTGTATTCCCCTTTTCTGTTGCTTTCTAACATTATATCCACTTTTCACCTTATTTTTCCCTTTTTTGGTTGTTTTTTTGGGTCTTAAAGTCTCCATTCTCTTTCCCCCCTTTCCCCCTTCTTCCCTAAGTAAAGTTACTTGTTCGTCAAAGATAGCTTCTTCTTTGTCCCAATCTTCTTGTTGCGCAGTCTTTTCTTGTAGTTTCACATAGGTACAAATCGCCATTTCTAAGAATTGAAA